CCCCAAAACCCCAAAACCCCAAAACCCCAAAACCCCTTAAAACTCTTTAATAATTGAACTGAATTATACGGGTATGGGAGTCTTCATACGCTTTTCTATTTCAAGCCTCTTCTTTGTAAAGTCTTCTTTAACTTTCCTCTTCAAGAATTTGATATATTTAAGCTTCTCATTGATCTTGTTAATCTTAGAGTTGCTTCTTTTATTCTTTACAAGGTATCTTTTACATTCAAGCAATAGAGATGATGAGACCTATAGTTATATGTCAGTGGTACTGTTCGAGGAGGATGGTCTTTGATTGTCTGATGACGGCTATTTGCGCTATCCTTCTTATTTCAACCTTTCTAATCTTGAGGGTATCCTTTGAGGAGTATGAGTTTGATTTAGTACTAGAATTATAGAGGAGCTTACAGAATTCTCTACTTCATTGAGATCTGAGTTTAGCTAATAGTTTATTTGTATTCGATCTCATCTGGGAATTTGGACGGTAGCCTACTCGGTTATGCATTCTTTTACCTCTATAGACACATTGAGGGTTCTTAACCCAACCATCAATGAGGCAAGAAGATCTCTTTTTTGCAAACTTAGTTTTTGGCTTTGTTTTGAAGCTAAATATTAATATGAGATCTTACAAACCAAGGCGATCGACTGATTTCCTTTTCTTTTTAATTTGAAAATTAATAATATCATTCTTTATAATATGATCACTAATTCTTTCTTCTAGATTTGTCTCTGAAATGCATTTCTCCGACCGTTTAAAGCTCTATTAGAAAAATGAGGCCTTAACACAATAAAATAGCAAAGTACTGGATTAGTTTGGTTTCAAGTGAGCTGAGTTTTCCTCCTCAAATCTTTGATCATCCTTCCTAATGTCCTAAAATTAATGATTGGAACTACTTTTTCTTTAGTTTTCTGCTGTCTTTATTAAAGTTTAGCCTATATGGTAATTGTTAAGCTAGCTATATACAGAAATTTTAGCTTTAATATCTCTTTATAGCACTAATTGAGAGCAAAAAGAGGAGTCATTTGACATCAAAATAGGACTTTTCAAAACTTCTTTCTTGACATTTTTGATGGTGTTTCATTAATGGAAAGTTTTCAAGGAATACAGAACTCACAGTGTGACATTCAAGTTCTTAAGAATCTTATTTTGCATAGGATGTCTTCCAATTTTGCTTAAAATTTCAATAAATTTTAAATTTTAAGGGGTTTTGGGGTTTTGGGGTTTTGGGGTTTTGGGG